CATTTCTTTGCTTTTGTACAACACACATATGCTACCATAAGTTGTACTAAGGGAAAGGTAAATTGATTAATAGACTGCAAAGGGAGACTTTGGCTTTCAAATCATTTTCCTTCCAAAGGTGGTTAATGTCCTTGAATATATTGAGAAATTGAAAAGAAAAAAAAGACACAAAGTTTGTTCACGCAGGGTTAGTGATTATAGATAGGAATAAAGAGAGAGCATGCCTAAAAAGACAATTAAGTGAAGAAAACTATTCATGATCAAGTATCGAGTTTTATTGGAAAGAAGCTAAGAACAAATGTTTTGAATCATCAGAATTTCTGCTCACCCTGATTTTCCACAGTCCAGGATAATTTTGGCTAGAATTAGCATACTAATTATTACAGTAGCACCACCGACTCCTTGAGGGGGGAAAATTTTGGTAACACAGTTAATAAAAACATAAACAATAACATATACAGGATAATTTCACAATGATAAACGTACAGGCTATGAGGCAAATATAATGAAAATATGGAAGACAGAAATTATATTTTTGTGTCTGGCTTCCTTACTTTCCAAATTTGAGAGTAAAAACTGTGCATTATTTACCCTTTATCCTGTTTTCTTTCAAAGAAAAAGGAAATAAAATATTAAAAATAAAGTGTCATAATAATCAAATAAAATTTGTTTGATGAGAAGATTATAAAGTATTTTAAGCCCATCATGCTTCATTTTAAATGCTTTGATCACTGATCTTTCATACATGAATTTCCCCCCCCACCCACACACTCTTTGGATCTATACTACAAAGGAAATTAGAGATGATCCTGGAAAAGCAAGCTGAAGCTAATCTGTCTAATAAGTGTATTTGGTTCCAAATGAGCAATATATAGATATCACACACTTGCACTACCATGCGGGCAAGTGATTTTAAAAAAACAGCTATTTCCACCACAGATAAGTTTTTATAGTACTTTACCCAATCAGTTTCTTTAACGTATGCCCTAGCATCGCATCGTTAGCTTGAAAAGGCTATATTCATAAAATAAATCACGGCTCTTCAAAAGTTTTGAGTTTTTTTCCCCCTTCACCACATTCCATTAATTCCACCATTTCCAAATGTAGCAAAAACATCCCATTTTCAATTTGAATGATAAATGAAGATAGAAATTGAAAAGTGATCTAAAATAGCTACATGACAGAAGTAAAAGTAGTCCTAGAACTCTAATTAGTACATATATGTAATCCTAGGAGAAACTGTGTGAAGACTGATGGCTTAACAGAAAACCAGAGCAAAATACAGCAATTTGAGAAACAAATCTACATAAATGATTGCTTTATTAATTAATAAGAGAGTATTATCTCATAAATTAGAAAGAAGAAGAAAAATTAAGGTACAAAGGCAATGCTTTATGACTTCGAAATCCACTTGGTACCTATAGAAAACCATCCCAAAGGGGAATTAGAGTCAATTTAATATTTGTGCGACTTGGGATAAATGAAACTATAGATTACTAATAAAATTATGATTGTGATTCCAATGTTCCTAGTCACTAACTGGAGAACTCTGAGGTAGGAAAATTACATAATTAAAAAAAATTTTTTTAAATGGTTTTCTCCAAGAAAAGGAGTATTTTAGTAATGTTCCCTGATGTAGAACTATTTTTACACTGTTTAAAATGTTGCAAATCAGTTTGTCACCTATTATCTCATTTAATCACCTCCAATAACTAGCACAGTGCTTGGAAAATAGTAGAAAGTGTTTAGTTAATATTTATCAAATTGCATTGAATGATATATATATTTTTTTTTGTAGAGGAGAAAACTGAAACAATATACAAAGTATCATCTTTATTTTTGAAAAACCCAAGTCAGAATTCTACCTACAAGATCTGGTGTTAATTAAACGATGCTTGTCTCATTTTTTTGAAGAAATATGGGTTCACCCAGTCACTTAAAAGGTCTCACTTACATCTAATACACTAGAAATGCATTCCATATTCTCTAAAATATAAGAAAGCTGTGGATAGGTTTTGTTCTTCCTTATAATCTTATTTAACATAACAGAATAAAGGGACAGATCTGTGGACAAGTGAAGTCACACTGGAAAGAGATTTTTGCAGAAGAGAAAAAATATGCCTGAGTAAACCTTAAATTATCAGATTTGTAAGTCAGGAGTCAACACTCCTTCCTCAGCAACATCTCCAGGACCCTTTAAGTACTTTGCTATTATCACTGGACTTTCAGGGCCTTTGTATTTCTTCAAAAAAAAAAAATTTTAAGGCTAAAGCCTACATTTCTTGATGCCTCATCTAATAATTCTTTCACTTCTTTTTTGGTTTTTAATATGTTTTTCTTGAGTTTTAGAAAGAGAGGGAGGGAGAGGGACAGAGAGAGAGAAACACTGATGGGAGAGAGACATGGATCAGCTGCCTCCTGCATCCCACCCCACTGGGGATTGAGCCCGACACCCGGGCATGTGCCCTGACTGGGAATCGAACCAGGGACCTTTTGGTTCATGGGTCGGTGCTCACCCACTGAGCCACGCTAGTTGGGCTCAAATTTTTTAAGTACGAAAAGTTCACATGCTTTCACTTCCAGACTAAAAAGATTGCTGAAAAACTGAATGATTATTTAACTTCTTAACTCTGAATCATGAGCATGTAATTAAAGTCACCTTATAATGAGATTTAAGCTTGTCATGCATAGACGCGTATTAAGACACAGCCAAGACCCTATATCAGCATATCATGCATTTTAAATCACCACGGATGACTCAAGGCTCTTGAAAATACACTTCAATTTGGGCTAGTCTGTTACACATGCCACATTCAGGGAGATATATAAAGCATAGTAAATACACATGTAATATTTAAAGGATACAGAAAAGTATTTTAGCTGTTTTACTGACTGTTCTCTAATTTTCTCTTTAATATTCTTTCAATTGACCTATTAATTCCCATAAGGGACTTGTGAATGTCACAATACACTTAAGCAACTGCGGGGCGGGAGTGGGGCTGTGGGATACTTGTAAAGAATAAGGGATAACTTAATTGTAAAATCTGAGTTGTGCAGCTCTTGTTCTGCCACTAGGACCGGAATCCTTATATCCCTTCAAGTACCTAGTGCTAGAAACACGAGTCATGGGCCTCTATTTAAGCACTTAGCTGTGTGACCTTAGGCAAGTTATAAATCTTGCAAAACCACAGTTCTCTCAGCAAAAAACTGGGACATGGCTACATTATAAAATTGATAAAATGTCTAAAAAGTTGAAAGAGCTCCTTGAGGAGGAGAGGGCGATAATGAAAATAAAATTGAGAAACACTGATATAGAACCAGTAAAAGGATATCTGGATATCTTTAAAATTAACAATAGAGGCTTCATTTACATGGCAAATAAGGAAATCCTGAGAAGATTAGTTAGTCTCTTTTTTTTACCAGAGTTAAATAGGAAAAACTTCAAATACTTTCAAAGTTGTAATATTATCTATATTATTCACTTAATTGTATTATAATCATAATCAACAAAGTCAATTTCCTTGCATTAGAGTTTGCTTATCTTTAAAATGAGAAGTGGTCCTAGCCAGTTTGGCTCAGTGGTTAGAGTGTCAGCCCTTGGACTGAAGGGTCCTGGGTTTGATTCTGGCCAAGGCACATATCTCAGTTGCAGGCTCCATCCCTGGCCCTGGTTGGGGCTCGTGTGAGAGGCAACCAATCAATGTGTCTCTATCACATCGATGTTTCTCTCCACCTTCCTCCCTCCCTCCCTCCCTCCCTCCCTCTCTCTCTCTCTCTCTCTCTCTCTCTCACTCTCTGAAAAGCAATGGAGAAAAATATCCTCAGGTGAGGATTAAAAAAAAAAATCAAAATGACAAGTGACCTGATTAACAGAATAATTTTAAGAAACTAAGGGTTCTGGTCAAGATGGCAGCCTAGGTAAATGTGGTACTTGAATCCTCCCAAGACCGTATCAGAATTACAGCTAAACTAGAGAACCACCATCATTCTGAGCCACCTGAAACCTAGCTGAATGGAAGTCCTGCAACTCGTGATTAAAAGAAGCAACCACATCGAGACTGATAGGAGGAACAAAGATTCCCACGTGTGGCTGTTAAAAATTGGGAGGAATATCTTGGCAATGGAGGTCCCCCCTGAGGGTCCAGGGGTCCCAGCCCCATACCAGGCTCCTCATACCAGGGTTTCAGTGCCAGGAGGAGAGGTCCTCATAAATTCTGGCTCATATAAACCAGCAGGAATTGAGGTTGAGTAAGACAAAAGCGGCTGGAGACTCAGGCAGTTCCTCTTAAAGGGCCTGCACACAGGATTACTCGGACTCCCTCCCTCAGAGCTCCAATACTAGGGCAACAGCTTGAAAGACACCATGAACATGTGGGGAGGAAATGAATTATCTGGTATCAGAATGAGAGCAGGAGAGGCAGCTTTCTCTCAGACAGAAGTGCTGGCAGAGGCCACTGTTCCTTTTCTGGGCTCTTCCCTCACAGAAGGCAGGTGGACTCCATATCTGAGGGACCATCAGTCTGGCTAACACTTTACCCCAACCTGATGATTCCCTGAGAATGCATCCCACCCAACTTTCAGGCCCACCTAAGCCACTTCCAGTGGCCATTCCATACAAATGGCCTGCCTTTGTTTGTGCTTCAGGCTTTCCGAAAATCTCTAACACAAGCAGATGAAGCAGAGGATCAGATCAGACATTTGAAAGACAGGAAGCAGAAACACCCAATCTGAACAGCAAAAAGAAAAAATCCAAATAAATGAGGATAGTATAAGGAGCCTCTGGGACAACTTCCAGTGTACCAACATTTGCATTATGGGGTTGCCAGAGGAGAAGAGAAAGAGCAAGAAATTGAAAACCATTTTGAAAAAATAATGACAGAAAAATTTCCTAACCTGGTGAAGGCAATAGACATACAAATGCAGGAAGCAGAGAGCCCCAAACAAGATGAACCCAAAGAGGCCCACATCATAATTAAAATGCCAGGAGTAAAAGACAAAGAGAGAATCTTAAAAGCAGTAATAGAAAAGCACTTAGTTACCTACAAGGGAGCTCCCATAAAACTGTCAGCTGATTTCTTAGCAGAAATTTTGCAGGCCATAAGAAATTGGCAAGAAATATTTAAAGTGATGAAGAGCAAGGACCTACAACCAAGATTACTCTACCCAGCAAAGTTATCAGTTAGAACTGAAGGACAGATAGAGCTTCCCAGACAAGAGAAAGCTAAAGGAGTTCCCCACGACCAAACCAGTATTATAAGAAATATTAAAGGATCTTCTTTAAGAAGAAAAAAGCTCAAAATATAAATAACAAAATGGCAATAAATACATATCTATCATCAATTACTTTAAATGCAAGTGGATTAAATGCTCTAATCAAAAGACATATGGAGGTTGAATGGATAACAAAACAAGATCCTCATGACACAGGCTGAAAGTAAAGCAATAGAAAAAGACAGTTCATGAAAATGGAAACAAACAAAAAAGCTAGGGTAGCAATAGTTATACCAGACAAAATAGACTTTAAAACAAAGGCTATATAAGAAGAGACAAAGGGGGACCCAGCAAGTTCATTTCTGGATATTTATCCAAAGAAACCCAAAACACTAAAACAAAAATATATATATATATCCATGTGTTCATTGCAGCATTATTTACAATAGCCAAGATATGAAAGCAAACTAAGTGCCCATCAATACAATGGAATTTGACTCAGCCATATAAAAGAATGAAATCTCCCCATCTGCAACAACATGGATGGACCTAGAGAGTATTGTACTGAGTGAAATAAGTCAGACAAAAGAAGACAAATGCCATATGACTTCACTTACATGTGGAATCTAAAAAACAAAATAAATACACAAGTGGAACAGAAACAGACTCATAGATACAGAGAACATTTTGACGGTTGACAGATGGGAGGGGATTGGGGGAATGGATAAAAAAGGTGAAGGGACTGAGAAGTATAAATTGGTAGTTACAAAATAGTCAATATAGTCAATAATATTGTAATAACTATGTATGGTGTCAGATGGGTACTAGATTTATCGAAGTGATCACTTAGTAACTTATATAATGTCTAATCACTTTTTGTACACCTGCAACTAATATAATATTATATGTCAGTTGTAATTTAAAATCAAATTTTAATTATTAAAAAAACAAATTGCCACTCTAAAAAAAAGAAATGAAGACAATTTTCATGTTTATGTTTTACAAGGATAGAATCACAAATAAAAATATCACCATGTGTCAGAGTTAAAAGGGGAGAAGCTCCTCTTTGTTTTTGAAAACATTTGGAATTATAACTAACACTAAGAAAAGCTTGCTAGGAAATCACATAGTATATACTAACACATCACTGTCATTATCATTAAATCATTAAATCATGAGATATTCATTTATAATACACTTATTTCTATTTAAAATATAGAATAAACAAATTGAATTTTAACTCTTTGATCTTTCAAGACAAATCCTTCAGTGTAGGAGAGGTTTATTCAACTATAGAAGAACTGTCATAAGTAATTTTTTAAAAATAATTTTAAAATACCTGTTTTCAGCTTTATAGTACTTTGACTAATTCATACACGAATAAGACAGGAGTTTCCAGACTATAAGGACATAATTTTAAATATACACTTTTTTATAAAAGCGTATTTTCGATCGAATGTTACTTATCAATATGAAAATTAACTGTATTGCTAATTCTTAACAAACGTTTCTCTTAGCATCTTCTTTAAAAGTTTATTAATCTTCTTGTTAAAGCATAACACCAAATAATATACTTATGGACAGAAAAAAAGGACTGGGCTAAATGCAAAAAGAAATTGCAATACAGATACGTTTTTAGCCTCATGCCTAAAGCAACAGAATATTTTTAAAAAAATAACTGCTTTCAATCACTGATAGGGAAGGGAAAAGAAAGAACATGTAATCAAAGATAACACTCTTTATTTTATTTGTGGGTAGGACAGAAATCTAGAAATGGTCAAGAAGTAGTTTCTGATTAATTATAAAATACTTGAGGATAGAAACTGTATTAATAACTGTCTTTTCTAGTTTTTCTTCAGTCCCTAGAATGATGAATTGAAACAATAAGCAGACAATAATACTTGAGTGATTGGCCCAATGATTTGAAGTTGTCCTAAAATAACTTTGGAAAATGAACATAGTTGGAATAGTACTTAGTACGTAATGGTGTCCAGACATGTTTATAAAATACATTTACCCGTTTTCTCTTTGGCACTAAGAAACACCGTGTTTTAATAGTATTCCTAAAATTGGTAAAAGGCAATTTTCTCTTGCAGAAATATGAATTGTACATTCTACAGCGACAACAATTTCTTTCAACTGCCAAAAAACCAAACTTACCAAATGTAATTGCTTTAGCCCCTAAAGAAGAAAAAGGAAAAAAAGAATTACAAAAATAAAAAAAGGTTTAAAGTAATCGATTTGCTATAAATTTAATACATATAAACTATACTTGAAAGTTCAAAAGTAACTCAGATTTCTATAACAGAAATAATTATAAATGAATTTATGAGAACAATTATACATTATGAACAATCCAATAACTTACACACCAGTGCCTATATCTATTCAATGAGTTAACATTATAACATTATAAGTATAAAATATGATAAGGAGTTATTAAATATGGAAACAAATGCCATGTAAATTTGGTTATATGACTTGATGACAAGAAACAAGTTCAAAAGCTTAAATAGTAAGTAACCACTGATCTGATCCTACAATCAAGAAATGACTCAGAAACTCAAGTTTCTTTCAGCAGACTAGCAAAACCTAAATTATTGTATCACCTTATTATTTAAACCTTTAAATGACCATGACTGAAGGATTGCAAAAATAACTTTACTTTCAGATAAATATATTTGTAACAATAAATACATTGCCTCTTAAGGGCTGAACAAATTTTACTCAAAGTACCATTTTGAACAAGCAATATTCCATAGCAGAAAAAGCATATAATTTGGAGCCAGCAAATATCTGTTTAAACCCCAATTTTCTCTCTACTAACTATGCATTATATATGAATAATATAAGTTAATCTCTAAGCCTCTAATTCATCATCTATAAAGTGAAACTAAAAATATTTATTTTGCAAAGTTGTTGTAAGGACTATTGTCAACAAATGGAAGATGTGTGGAACATGCCACTATAGTAGATACTCAATAAGTAGGAGATACAATTTTTTTTCAATAAAATCAAGAAATGGTATAATATTTAAAGACTAAATTAACTGCACATAAGTAATTTCATCTCAACATAAATATGAATAATAAAATGACAATAGCAACATTTCTATCAATAACCACTTTGAATGTTAGTGGATTAAATGCCCCAATGAAAAGACATATCAATAGATGCAGAGAAAGCATTCGACAAAAACCAGCACCCATTTCTGGTAAAAACCCTCAGCAAAGTGGGAATAGAGGAAACATAGTTCAACATAATAAAGGCCATATACAACAAACCTATAGCCAACATCATACTCAATGGTAAAAAACTAAAACCATTTCCCTTAAAAACAGGAACAATACAAGGATGTCCGCTTTCACCACTCTTATTCAAGAGTATTGGAAATCCTTGCCACAGCCATCACACAGGAAGACAACATAAAAGGTATCCAAACTGGAAAGGAGGAAGTAAAACTGTCATTATTTGCAGATGACATAGAAAACCCTAAAGTACTACTAGATTTGACAAATGAATTGGCAAGGTAGCTGGATACAAAATTAACTTCCAGAAATCAATGGCATTTTTATACACCATTAATGAACTCTCAGAAAGAGAAACTAAAAAAACGATACCATTTACCATTTACCATTGCCACTAAAAAATAAGATACCTAGGAATAAATTTAACCAAGGATGTAAAAGACCTGTACTCGGAAAACTACAGGACACTGAAAAAAGAAAGAGAGGAAGATATAAACAAGTGGAAGAATGTACCATGTCCATGGATCGGAAGAAATAATATCATTAAAATGTCCATACTACCCAAAGCAATTTATAGATTCAATGCAATTCCTATTAAAATACCAACATAAAATACCAGCATATTTCACAGAGCTAGAAAAAATATTCCAAAAATTTACATGGAACCAAAAAGACTCCAAATAGCCACAGCCATCTTGAGAAAGAAGAACATAGTGGGAGGGATCACTTTACCAAATATCAAACTGTACTACAAAGCCATTGTAATCAAAATAGCCTGGTATTGGTACAACAACAGACATATAGATCAATAGAACAGAACAGAGACCCCAGAAATAGACCCATGCAATTATGGTCAGTTAATATTTGACAAAGGAAGCAAGAGCATACACTGGAGTAAAGATAGTCTCTTCAATAAACGGTGCTGGGAAAATTGGACATCACCAACTTCCTCCATACACAAGAATAAATTCAAAATGGATAAAAGACTTAAATGTAAGTCACAAAAGCATAAAACCATAAAAGTCCTAAAAGAAAACATAGGCAGTAAAGTGACAGACATCTCACATAGTGGAATTTTCACTGATACATCTCCTAGGGCAAGAGAAACAAAAGGAAAAATAAACATATGGGACTATATCCAACTAAAAAGCTTCTGCACAGCAAAAGAAAACAGCCTCAAAATACAAAGGAAACCCACAATATGGGAGAACGTATTTGCCAAGGATGTACCTGATAAGGGGCTAATTTCCAAAGTGTACAAAGAACTCATACAACTGAACAAGACGAAGACAAAAAATCTAATTAAAAAATGGGCAAAGGACCTGAATAGACACTTTTCCAAAGAGGACACATAGATGGCCAAGAGACACAGGAGAAAATGCTCAATGTCGCTAATCATCAGAGAGATACAAATTAAAACCACAATGAGGTGTCATTTCACACCTGTAAGAATGGCTACCATCAGCAAATCAACAAATGACACATGCTGGCAAGTATGTGGAGAAAGGGGAACCCTGATACACTGCTCTTGGGAATGCAGACCGGTGCAGCCACTTTGGAAAACAGTATGGAGTTTCCTTAAAAAATTAAAAATGGAGCTGCCTTTTGACCCAGTGAATCCACTTCTAGGAGTATATCCTAAGAATCCTGAAACAGTAATCAGAAAAAATATATGCACCCCATGTTCATAGCAGCATTATTTACAATAGTTAGGACCTGGAAACAGCCCAAGTGCCCATTAGTAGATGAGTAGACAAAAAAGTTGTGGGGCATTTACACCATGGAATAGTATACAGCTGAAAAAAAGAAGGATCTCGTACCCTTTGAGACAATATGGATGGACCTGGAGAATATTATGCTAAGTGAAATAAGCCAGGGAGAAAGACATGATCTCACTTATATGTGGAATCTAAAGACCTTAATAAACTAATGAACAAAATATATTCAGTGACATGAAAGCATAGATTAGACTGATGAATCTCAGAGGGAAGGTGAGGGTGGGTAGGGAGGTGGGTGGAGAGAGATTAACCAAAGAATTTATATGCATATATGCATAACCCCAGGACACAGTCAATAGGGTGGTGAGGGACTGGGGAGGGATGTGGGAGCAGGGTGGAAGTGGTCAATGGGGAGAAACAGGGACATCTGTAACACTTTGAACAATAAAAATAAATAAATAAATAAAGATAAAGATTTTGAAAAAGATAGGATATAACCTTTGCAAACATTTATGCACCCAACATAAGAGTACCTAAATATATAAAACAATTATTGAAGGACACAAAAGGAGAGATCAACAGTAATACAGTCATAGTGGGGGACTTTAACACCTCATTAACATCAATGGATAGATCTTCCAGAGAGAAAATCAACAATGAAACAATGGCCTTAAATGACACATTAGATAGATTTAATTAATATCTTTAGAGCACTTCACCTCAAAGCAGCAGAATGTACATTATTTTCAAGTGCACATGGAATATTTTTCAGTATAGGCCACATGATTTTTGACAAAGGAGCCAGAAAAAAACAATGGAGTAAAAAAAGCATCTTCAATAAATGGTGCTGGGAAAACTGGAAAGCCACATGCAAAAGATTGAAACTGGGTTATAGTTTGTCCTCATGTACAAAAATTAATTCAAAATGGATCAAAGACCTAAATATAAGATCTGAAACAATGAATTACATAGGAGAAAACATAGGTACTAAACTTATGGACTTTGGTCATTGAGAATATTTTATGAACTTGACCCCAAAGGGAAGGGAAGTAAAGGTAAAAATAAATGAATGGGACTATATCAAACTAAAAAGCTTCTGCACAGCAAAAAAAACAACAAAACAAGAGGAGCCAACCAAATGGGAGGTGATACATGCAAACAAGAGCTCCAACAAAGGTTTAATATCCAAAATATGTAAAGAACTCATAAAACTCAATACCAAACAACCAACCCAATTAAAAAATGGGCAGAGGGCCTGAACAGACACCTCTCCCAAAAAGACATACAAACAGCGAACAGATATATGAAAAGATGTTCAACCTCACTAGCAGTTAGAGAAATGATAATAAAAATTATAATGAGAAAATACCTCACACCTGTTAGAATGGCTATTCTCAACAAGACAAGTAATAAGTGTTGGAGAAGTTGTGGGAAAAAGGAACCCTCATTCACTGCTGGTGGGAATGTAAACTGCTAACAGCCACTATGGAAAACAATTTGGAGGCTCCTCAAAAATTAAGAATAGAGCTTCCATATGATCCAGCAATGTTTTTCCTAGGTATATACCCAAAAAACTCAAAAACATGTATTCTCAAAGATATATGCACCCCTATGTTCATTGCAGCATTATTTACGGTGGTCAAGACATGGAGATAACCAATGTGTCCTGCAATAGAGGACTGGATAAAGAAGATATGGTACAAATACACAATGGAATACTACTCAGCCGTAAGAAAAGGTAAAATACTGCCATTTTTGACCAAATGGATGGACCTTGAGACTATTGTGCTAAGTGAAATAAGTCAGGCGGAAAAAGATAAGAACCATATGATTTCACTCATATGCGGGATATAAAACTGAAACCAGTGAACACAAACAGCAGTGTGGTGGTTGCCAGGGCAAAGGGTGTGGGATGGGGTAAAGAGGGCCGAACATATGGTGACAGTATATAATTTGACTTTGGGTGGTGGGCACACTGTGCAATATACAGATTGTGTGACAGAAATCCACACCTGAAACCTATATGATTCTATTAACCAATGTCACCCCAATAAATTTAATTTTTAAAAAAAGAAAAGTTATTGAGCCACACATGTTGGTTTCATGCAGTTTCCAGTGTGAGTGTTGACTTCAATGAAAATGTTAGAATAATTTTTTAAAAATTATCTTCTGGCTCAGTTCTATTGAGATTTCCCAAGGAAAAAATTAAATAAAACAAAATAAGTATCTCTACTGGCCAAGAAGAATGTGTATGAAAATGGTTGTACATGAGGCAGATTGTGGGACAAGAAGACATCCTAGTGGTCTGAGGCAGCATTAATTCAGAAGATGGGTTTCATTTAGTCACTCAACAGGTAGTTCCAAAGTCTATAGCCTATTTTATTTCAAGTGCCTTTATTTAAAGAGTCCTGTATGAATGTGAACTATTTCAAAGAGCTGTGTGATTTCAATTACTTAAAAGACATTGTTGAGATGATATACCAAATTAGCAACTCCAGGGAATCTGAAGAGATCCTTTAGCATGCTGGAGGGATGGGTCTGTGTTAGCAAAACAGACCCAGAAATCAACCTTAAGGATGGTATATATTTGGTTCTTTGAAGGGTTGTTGAAAAATTCAATGACCCCCTAAAGCTAATGTATAACACAGAATTTCTTCACCAACCTTAACTTAACATTGTTTTTATGGGGCCACACCTTTTTCTATAATATTGCAAAAGGTTTCTTTATTTTTTAAAGATTTGCCCTACCACAATCCAACTCTGCCTCTGAAGAAAGTCCAGAACATTAGTATGAAACAAAACTCTAGCTACAATAAATCTCAGACTATTTAATTATGTAATCCTAGTCAAGTTGAAATTTCCACCATAGTACATTAGATCCATACTCTGGAACCTGAACAGTGTCAGCTCACCTTCAGAAAGGGTTCCACTTCCTTTAGAGGTGACAGTTGTCCTGGGAACAGCTTGACTCTGTGCTGCTATAATATGAGCAGAGGTCAGTTTTTGTGTTGTATGGTGATCCTTAGTCGCTGGGGCATGTACAAGAGTGAACTTTTGTGTTACTGAAAGACTCTGTGTAAATGAAGCTTTTGCTGTTGTGAATCTTTGGGTTTTGGGTGTGGCTTGTGCAGCAGAAGGATTTGCCATGATGGGAGTCTGGGCTGTTGGTTGGGTCTCTGTAGACAGAGCATTTGACACAGGGTATATTTTGACTATTGTGACTGAATCATTTGCTGTGATGGGTTTCTGAGGAGTTGATGGGGCATCCATAGCTGAAACGTTTAAGGTGGGTTTCTGAGGAGCTGATGGGGCGTCCATAGCTGAAACGTTTAAGGTGGGTTTATAAGGAATTAGTAGGGCCTTTGTAGCTGAAGAATTTATTGTAGTGAGTTTCTGAGGAGTTGATGGGGCTTCTGTGGCTGGAATATTTACTGTGGTGGGTTTCTGAGGAGTTGATGGGGCTTCTGTAGCTGAAACATTTAAGGTGGGTTTATGAGGAATTAGTAGGGCCTTTGTAGCTGAAGAACTTATTGTAGTGAGTTTCTGAGGAGTTGATGGGGCTTCTGTAGCTGAAACGTTTAAGGTGGGTTTATGAGGAATTAGTAAGGCCTTTGTAGCTGAAGAACTTATTGTAGTGAGTTTCTGAGGAGTTAATGGGGTTTCTGTGGCTGGAATATTTACTGTGGTGGGTTTCTGAGGAGTTGATGGGGCTTCTGTAGCTGGAGCATTTACTGTGCTGGATTTCTGAGGAGTTGATGGGGCTTCTGTAGCTGGAACATTTACTGTGATGGGTTTTTGAGAAGTTGATGAGGCTTTGGTACCTGGAACATCCACTGTGGTGGGTTTCAGAGGAGTTGTTGGGGCTTTGGTTCTTGGAACATCCACTGTGGTGGGTTTCAGAGGAGTTGTTGGGGCTTTGGTTCTTGGAACATACACTGTGGTGGGTTTCGGAGGAGTTGGTGTGACCTTGGAAGTTGGAGAACTTTCTGTGGAGGAAAAATGAGTTTAAAACATTAGCTAAATAATGCTTTTAAGATTTAGGAACCAACTGCTTACTCGATGACTCTTCTCTTTCAACCCCCCCAAACACTTAAATGTGACATTTAGTAATCCAAGTCTTCTTGTGCATTTCCCAAGGAACTAAAATGCTACACTGTTTTTTGCTTCAATATAAATTACACCTAAAGGCAACTAAATACACCAAAGTAGTACTGAGACACTTATACCGTTTTCTACGTCAAGAAAGAAAACCAAAGTCAGAGTCCGCAGTGATCTCATTCTGTGACACCCTCCCAGTAGAGTATTTTCTCACATCAGTTGTCTTCTTTGCTCATGCCCAAACCAAAGAACAGCAGGATGCAAAATTAGGCCAATGGGGTTATCACAACAGAGAGAATCACAGAGTTACTTTTTTCTTTTTCTGCAGCTTTCAGGATATGTTAGTGACCTGGGAAACTTAGATTGTTTCAGTTCTTTTTTAAAGTAATAAAGTCAGAATAAAATAACTCCCTTTTTCTCCTCTTGTGCTGGTTACCAGCTTTACACACATTAGTTTCATTCCTCTTTGGATTTTAGGTGAGCAAACAAATGCCTAGACACAGCTGCAGTTAAGACCTTATTCTGAGATTCACAAATAACAACATAGTAACATTTTAGGTCTTGAGGCCTTTTTGACTTTGGATTTCTCATGCAAACTCACTCTTAGGGCAGTACTGAGTAGTGCTTAGGCCTACACATCCTAGAGATCAAGTTCTCTGATCCCTCTGAACTTTGGTTTCCTCACCTATAAAAGGAGCGTAAAAACGGAGCAGATGTCATTACATTACTGTAAGGGGTAAGGGAAATAATTTTAGGTAAGTTATTTAACACAGTGTCTGTCCCCGAGGCAACATATTACATCATTCAGCACTTCCACCTCCAACGCAGTCAGCACACATCCTGCTCTAGGTGCTCAGAGGTTGTGTCATTTATTTCTGTATCCTTTACCTAGCCCTCAGGACTCTATAAGGGACAACTCAAGTAAAATACATAGCAGGTAACACGACTCATAGCAGGCACTCAAAAAATGATAGATTTTATGATTAGGGTAAGTGAAGTTTTTAGATTGACTTTTTCATCTAAGGCCATCATATATAAAATGTATTCTTTGTTCTATCAAGTTCTCATTTTTGATCCAAAGGACTTTGTAGCACTGCAGTTTAAATCTCCTAGAAGTTACTTTTCTAGTTATCTTTTTATTTGGTGTCGAGTTTAATTCCATGGTGGTCGAAAAGCATGCTCTGAATAATTTCAGTCTTCTGAAATGCACTGTGATTTTGAGCCCAGCATACAGCCAATGTTCCATGTATACTTAAAAAAAAAAATTGCCATCTTCCCTTATAGGGTTCGATGCTCTTATCTGTCATTTTTTTCAAGTTTAGTTTTTGTTCAGATCTTCTATATTCTGATTTTTGCTTGTTTATTCTAGTAGCTATTGAGAAAGATACATGGAATTCTCAAATTATAATTGTGGATTTCTCTATTTTTCTTTCTGTCTATTTCTACTACATATAGATTGAAGCTATTTTTTCAAGTGCACATAGATTTCAGATTGTGATATATTCCTGTTGAACATTCCTAATATTTATGATGATTAACTGTTTTATTTTAAAGTATACTCTGATATTAATAGAGTTGCACCAACTTCTTTTCTGGTAAGTTTGCATGGTAAATTTTTCCACCCTTTACTTTCACCTATTCAATATTCTTATCATTAAACTATGGCTCTTATGAACAGCAGTTAATTTTACTTTATTAATTTAGTATGATAATATTAGTAAAATCACACTTAATGTAATTTCTGATATAGCTGGGCTTGGATCGATCACATTACTATAAGTATTGTATTTCACCCATCTATTTTATGTTTCTCTTTTTTTATTTACTTTTTGAGAGAGAGACAGAGAAAGAAACACTGATTTGTTGTTCCATTATTTATGCATGCATTGGTTGATTCTTGTATGTGACCTGACCGAGGATCAAACCCTCAACCTTGGTGTATATCTATACAGTTGATGTGATTAAAAAAGAAGTATGTATATGTGTATTTATTTTCTAGAATAAAACACAAAAATTTGAAAACAATGGTTACTTCTAAGGGAGGACTAGGGATAGAGAGATTTTCATTTCTCATTTTATACTCATCTTCATGGTTTTAATATTATTTCTCTATGTTTATGTATACCATCTATAATAAAAACTATTTTAATAAGCAGTGATATTTAAAATTCATGTTGACAGAATTTCAAGTATAATTATAAAAGCAGCACTTGCTTGAGTCACATTGGCATTTAAATATGACACTGCTTAAACAAATGTTACCTACTGGTACTGTGTAGTTTTAGAACCCAACTTCATTGATCTTCTAAATATCTCTTCAAAAATATATATGTATTTTTTATGGTAGTAGTCATTTTATTTGTCACTGCTGGGAAATTGCAGTAGAAAATAACACTTTCACTTGAGAGTATCCTCTTTAAAATAGCAAAATATATTAATTGTATTAGCCTCAACCTTATATATGCCTTATAATAATCTGATGAAATCAGAAGTATGCATAAAAAACATTTTGTATGTGACCTGACTGAGGATCACAAAATGAAGTTAAAACTGTTATCGCAGGGAAAGCACTTATATGATTGAGCTGTAAATAGAACTAGCTATATTTTTTCACAAAATAACTGTTTTATAAAATAATGACTAACACAGAACTATGGTTATTCTGTTTTGGTTATTTAAATAAGCATATTTAAAATTTTTTTCTTTATTATTGAAAGTATTACAGATGTCCTCCCTTTTCCCCTCCCATTGAACCACTCCACCAGGCAGCAACACCCGCCCACCCCAGGTCTTCTCCACACTATTGTCTGTGTCCATAGGTCATGTATATATGCATCTAAGTTCTTTGATTAATCTTTCTCCCGGCCAACCCCCCCAACTTTCCTCTGAAATTCGTCGGACTGCTCCATGTTTCTATATCTCTGTATCTATCTTGTTCATCAGTTTATTCTGTTCATTAGATTCCACATAGGAGTGGGATCATGTGGTACTTGTCTGCTCTGCCTGGCTTATTTCAGCGTAATCCTCTCCAGGTCCATCCATGCTGTCCCAAAGGGTAAGAGATTCTTCTTCTTTAGAGCTGCATAGTATTACATGGTGTAAATGTCCCACAGCTTTTATTATCCATTCATCTACTGATGAGCACTTGGGCTGCTTCCAGATCCTGGCTCTTGTAAATAACGCTGCTATGAACATAGGGGGGCATAAGTTCTTTTTAATTGGTGTTTCATGATTCTTAAGCTATATTCCTTGAAGTGGGATCACTGGGTCAAATGGCAGTTCCATTTTTAATTTTTTGAGGAAACGCCATACTGTTTTCCATAGTGGCTACACCAGTCTGCATTCCCACCAGCAGTGTACCAGGGTTTACCTTTCTTCACACCCTGGTCAGCACTTGTCATTTGACGATTAGTGTTTTTACTGTAGCTGATTTCTAATTTCATGCCATTGTAATCTGAGAAGATGCTTGATATGATTTCAATCGTCTTGAAGGTGTACACTTCTTTTGTGTCCTAACATGTGGCCTCTCTTTGAGAATGTTCCTTGTGCATTTGAGAAGGATGCATATTCTGTATTTTGGGATGGAATGTTCTGTAAATAATTAAATCCATCTGATCTAGTGTCCTTGTTAATTTTAGGATCATAGTGTCCTTGTTAATTTTTTGTCTGGAAGATCTACCCAGTGAAGTCAGTGGGCTGCTAAAGTCTCCCACTATGATTATATTGCTGTCAATCTCTCCCTTAAAGTCTTTCAGAAGTTTTTTTTTATGTATTTGGGTGCTCTTATATTGGATGCATATATGTTTATCAGGGTGATATCCTCTTGTTGAGTCAATGCCTTTAGTATTATGTAGTGACCTTCATTGTCTCTTGTTATGGCTTTCATTTTGAAGTCTATTTTGTCAGATATGAGCATTGCTACCTTAGCTTTTTTTTTTTCATTTCCATTTGCATGGAAATTTTTTTCTATTCCTTCACTCTCTTGTGTGAGTCCTTTGTTCTCAGGTGGGTCTCTTGTAGGCAGCGTATATAAGGGTCATGTTTTCTTGTCCACTCAGCCACCCTATGTCTTTTGATTGGAGCATTTAAGCCATTTACATTAAGGTTATTATTGATAGGTATGTATTTATTGTCATTCTTTCTTTCTCTGCATTTCTTCTTCTTACAGCAGCCCCTTTAGCATTTCTTGTAGTGCTGGTTTGGTAGTAATAAACTCCTTTAGCCTTTTTTTTGTCTGCAAAGCTCTTTGTTTCACCTTTAATTTTGAATGATAGCCTTGCTGGATAGAGTAGTCTTGGATTTAGTCCCTTGCTTTTCATTACTTTGAATACTTCATGCCACTCCCTTCTGGCCTGAAGTGTTCCTATTGAGAAATCAGCTGTCAGCCTACTGGGTGCTCCCTTGTAGGTAATGCTCTGTCTCTCTCTTGCTGCTTCCAAGATTCTTTCTTTATCTTTAATGTTTGCCATTTTAATGATGATGTGTCTAAGTGTGGGTCTTTTTGGGTTCATTTTGTTTAGGACTCTGTGTTTCCTGAACTTGAGTGACTTTCTCCTTCACCAGGTTAGGGAACTTTTCAGTCATTATTTCTTCAAACACGTTCTCTAATCTTTGCTTGGATTCTTCTTCTGGCACCCCTATGATGCTGATATTGTTATGTTTCATGTTGTCCCAAAGCTCCCTTAAACTATCCTCCTGCTTTTTAATTTTTTTTTTCTAATTACTGCTTCAATTGGGTGTTTTTTCTACCCTGTCTTCTAATTCACTGATTCTATCCTCAGCTTCTTCTAATCTACTGTTGATTCCTTCCAGTATATTCTTTATTTCTGCTATGACATTCTTCACTTCCAGTTGATTCTTATTAAGTTGCTTGAGCATCCTTATAGACATTATTTTGAACTCTAAATCTGATAAATTGCTTGCCTCCATTTCATCTAGTTCTTCTTCTGGCAATTTCTCCTTTTCTTTCATTTGGGTGCTGTTTCTTTGTGTCCTCATTTCATTGTGCCTGTTCTCAAGGGGTACCAGGTAAAGGCTGCAGAGTGTAAACAAGGCCCCATTTCTGGTAGTCCAGGGTACTGAGTCTGGCAGCCAGGTCCTGATGGCAGGCCTGTGTGTTTGGGAGGCATTGGGCCAGGTGCACTACATCAAGGCTGTAAGCCAGGTAGGCAGGCAGGCCTGTGGCACTGCACAAGGAGGCAGGCAGACACCAGCAACTGATAAATCCAATAAAAGGTTAATAAACAAAATGCATTAGAAACTCATACAACTTAAAACCAAAAAAACCCACCAAACAATCCAATTAAATGATAGGCAAAAGATCTAAATAGAAACTTCTCCAAAGAGGACATACAGATGGCCAATATACATGTAAAATGATGCTCAACAACACTGATCATCAGGAAAATGCAAATTAAAACCACAATGATATCTCACACCTGTCAGAATGGCTGCCATCAATACATCAACAAACAACAAATGTTGGGAAGGCTGTGGAGAAAAGGGAACTCTTGTACCCTTTTGGTGGGATTGTAAATTAGTACAGCCACTTTGGAAAACAGAATAGAGATTCATATAAAATTAAAAATAGATCTATCATATAATCCAGCAATTCCACTTCTGAGTATTTATCTGAAGAAAAATAAAACATTAATTCGAAAAGATATATGCACCTCTATGTTTACTGCAGCATAACTTACTAATTACTAGCCAGGATATGGAAGTAATACATATACAAGAAGAGTTACTCTCATTATGTTATAAGCAGAGGCCTCCCCCAGCAGCTGCCCTGATAAAAGTTTCAGTGATTCCCCATTCTGTAGAGACATGATGTTTTTTCTCTTTTTTTAAGCAGAAAAATAACGTGACCACATGTATACATCAAATTATATTGCACTGAATGTCCTTATGTACCCAGAGAATACTAACAAATTTATAAAGTACTTTTAGGCCATTAATCAAAGGAAGGAGCAAACCAGGAGTCATCTGACTGACACTGGAACGGGGTGTGTGATGACTACACAAATCACCATCAGTTCAATTCACACATTTCTTGAGCACCTAATGCACACCAGGCATTGTCTTATAAGTAGAAGTACAAAACAGGATAAGATATCATTCCTATGTCCCCAAACACAGTGGAGAAAGATAATTAAATACATAGATTCAACACAGAATGGTGAGGGTCATCACAGAAGCATGCACAGTGGTGCGGAAAGAGACAAAGACAGTAAACCAGCCTGGGAGGTCAGACAAAGCGTCTAGAAAGACTACCAGAGCAGACCCTTACTAAGAAGAAAAAAACCCAACAGTCAAGCAAAGAAGGGCCTCAAGGACATATCAGGCAGAGTTAGCAGCATAAGGAAGGATGTGGGGACGTGACGAGCTTGAAGTGCACGGAAAACTACAGTAGTTTGCGTGGGTAGAGCATGAAGTATGGGGGCCAGACATGAGCATGGAGAAGTAGGTAGCCCATGGCCAGCCTGGACATTATACCAGTTTGGACTTTGTAAGTGATCAAGAGGCACTAATAAGCTATAAGAAGGAAGGACAAGTCCCGCTCATGTTTCAGATGGAACAATCCAGGTAGAACATAGTTGAAACATTAATAGAGTGCAAGAATGAAGGCGGGAGGCCACTGCCATCAGTATCACCTTTGAACTCAGGCAAGTGGGGCCCCTGCCCTGGCTTCCACACTTTAAAATGCGGTGCTCTGCCCTGCCGGGCGTGGCTCAGCGGTTAAGCGTCGACCTAGGATCCAGGCAATTGGGGTTCAATTCTCAGTCAGGGCACATGCCCGGGTTGAGGGCTGCAGCCGATCAATGACTCTCTCATCATTGATGTTTCTATCTCTCTCTCCCTCTCCTTTCCTTTCTCTGAAATCAATAAAGATATATATTTTTTAAAAAATAAAATAATAAAATAAATAAAATAAAATAAAATAAAATAAAATAAAATAAAATAAAATAAAATAAAATAAAATAAAATAAAATAAAATAAAATAAAATAATAAAATGCGGTGCTCTGGCTCTTCTCTGGCTGTGCCTCTCTCTACTAGACCGGGTATATGCAAGGCCCAAAGGATGTGCTCATTGAGAGCTCTTCCCCCAACCCCATTCTAAATCATGCTTCAGGGACTGGCACCCAGAATTTCCTGTGCCAACACCCCTTTCAGGGGCTAAGAGAGTCCTTACTCCTAACCCATATTCTTTTTGTTTTTGTTTTTTTTACATATGGAACACTTCACAAATTTACAGGTCATTTTTATGCAAGGGCCATGTTAATCTTCTTGATATCTTTACGATTTTAGTGTATGTGCTGCGGAAGGGAACACACGGTCCATACTCTCGAGGATGGCCTATACTGCTGATGTGCATGCCTCTAGCCCAAAGTTCAGTGGAGTGGGGATAAGGGTCATAGGGCACTTGGATGTGTAGACCAAGTTGTCCATTGACACGCATCAGAGGCCCTTCACAGTGCAAGAAGGCGACATCTATTTGAGAAAGACTGGGTCTTAGGCCAGGGAATTTGGTATCTATTTTGTCTGATTAGTAGAAGAAATGGCCAGATAATAAATGACCAAACACAACACAAACTTTAGTTTGTTTTGGATCCTTTATTTCCAAAGCTAATAAATTATGGACTATTATAAGTAAAATTCTTTAAATTAGCTAAGATGCACATTAGAAGGTGAGGGTGCTACAGATACACACTGTAAATAATCCTTAACACAGAGAAAGTAATGTCATTGATAATTCAGTCCCACAATGCTAGTACTTAGATTCGTTCAGTCTTACCTTTGCACTCTGGCAACGGAGCACTCCAACCAATATCCGTTCCCTTACGAAGGCAGTAACTAATAGCTGTACCAACTAATTTGTACCTAAACAATGAGAGGAAAAGAAAAGTTGCGTTCTCTTAAATTCTCCAGATTATCGTCTTAAAATATTTACTATACCAGTAGATGGAGACAAAACAATAGTTGATAAAAGTTCATATGGCAGTTTAAAGAAAAAGAAAAAAGATTACATTTTAAAAGGTGACATCCAAAGAAATAACAAGTATAAGACATGCAAAACATTTCTTATTTGGGTGGGGTGCATGTTAGAAAATATTAGTGTTTTAAACATTTTAAATGACAGATGCTTGAATATTTTATATTCCTCAGTTCTGAAGATCAATACAATCTTCATAGAATAATAGAATGTACTTTTATATTGAAAGGGTTCAAAGTACTTCCAGATTTGATATTAATGATCCAAACATCTGTGTTTAATACAGGAGATAAGTGATACTGATATTTTTATTTTATAAAAAATGGACAAACACAGAGTCAAATATCATAATTCAATTTACAGATATTAAATGAGAAAATAAATATAAAGTTTTCAGCAGTGTCTGAGACACTGATAATACTTAATAAATGAGTTCCATTTCTCTACATAGAAGACTAATAAAAGACCTGAGGTCAGATGATATTTTAACACTAGGAATAAATGTTTTTAACCTATGATATTCTGTAACAGATAAGTTGCATATAGAAAAAAAAATATGCAAATTTATTATTTAGGTAAATTAAAGACTGGTTTCATTTAACACTTGGATTTCATTTCTGCAAGTAGTTTCCTTTACTAATGACATTTAAATTTTTATAATGAGTCACATGTACTGAAACCTAAGAATTTAGAGATATTGGTGGTATAAGACATCTTCCTTTCTTAGCCCATTTTACTAAATTTACCTGTGATAAGCTCATGAGCAAAACCTTTGAACAGAGGACTTGTTTTATTGCTACTAGCTTGTAAACATGGCCACACATCTAAAAATTTCCATCTTAAATTCTAATTTGTTTTTTCATTTGTTAAATATAGAGTGTTTAGTATGTGAGAACTTACCCTGGGTTACATGAGAAGGTGATGGATGAGCCAAATAATATGTCAGTTTTTATAATGACTTGACCATTTATTATTTTTCCAGGGTCAGGACATGATTTTCCTAGAGGACAGTACAAATTGTTTTTTTTCATTAAGTTATCAGGCACATCTATGCAAATGCATCATCTGAACCACTGGTAATCTCTTATCCTGAAACTGTTTAGATCCTAGTCATTTTTTTTAATAGAACCACGTCTTTTTTTTATTATTTTTTATATTTATTTATTTATTTTTCAACTACAGCTTACATTCAATATTATTTTGTATTAGTTTCAGGTGCACAGACAGTGGTTAGACCATCATACACTTTACAAAGTGTTCTGCCTGATATTTTCAGTGCCCACCTGGCACCCTACATAGTTACAATATTATTGACTATATTCCCTATGCTGTACTTTACATCCCCGTGACTATTTTGAAAGTACCAATTTGTACTTCTTAATCCCTTCACCTGTTTCACCCAGTCCCGCAACCCTCCTCCCCTCTGGCAATCATCAGTCTGTTCTCTGTATCTGTGACTCTGTATCTGTTTTATTTATTTATATTGTTCTTTAGATCCCACATATGAATGAAATCATATGGTATTTGTCTTTCTCTGATTGACTTATTTCACTTAGCATAATATCCTCTAGGTCCAGCCATGCTGTCACAAATGGTAAGATTTCATTCTTTTTTATAACTGAGTAGTATGCCGTTGTATGAAATGCAAATTAAAACCACAATGAAATATCTCCTCACACTTGTCAGAATGGCTATCATTAATAAACCAACAAACAACAAGTGTTGGTGAGGGTGTGGAAAAAAGGAAACCCTAGTACACTGTTGGTGGGAATGCAGACTGGTGCAGCAACGAAGGAAAGCAGAATGGAGGGTCCTCAAAAAAATTAAAAGGTGGAACTGCCCAGCAATTCCACTTCTGGGTATATATCTGAAGAAACAGTAATTCAAAAGAATATATGCACCTCTATGTTCATCCCAGTGTTATTTACAATAGTCAAGATATGGAAGCAAACCAAGTGCCCATCAATAGATAAGTTTCAAAAAAGTAACATATTTAGAATATATACTTATTTTATTTCATTTAAGGTAACCTTAAACTAAATGTGAAATCTGTGAGTCCATTAATATTCCTGTCTCTCAAGTAGTTTGCCTAGTTTAAAATAAAATGACTCTGATTCTTTTTAAGAATCATTCTAAATAATAATATGTACACAGGATAATATGTACACATAGACTTCTAGCATGAATCAAAGATGAAATACTATTTCCCCAAATACCACAGAATTAAGAATACTCATTAAAATTATACTCACTTGTACAAAATTCATCTGGTATGGACCATGTAAAATTCTGAAGGCAAGTTAGTTTTGATGATAGGGAATGGTTCCTAATGTAGCCCACACGACATTCATAGTCCACAACGGATCCCGCTGGGAAATAATTCTGTGAGATATAAATCTTTTGCAGAGATGCAAAACGCAGCCTGGTTGGAACATCACAGCTACCTAAAAGTATTAACAAAAGCAACAACAACAAAAAGTAATATCACTTTATTTTATAATCTATATTAAATTATTTGGAATCCTCTGGTCCTTACATCGCCCTCTTTTCTGTACTTCTTTGTACATATTTGGTATTTAACTATATTAATATCAACATGGCATTTATACTTTATCAAATATATTCAAATATATGCTTTCATTTCCTAATTACTAGAGGCCCATGAAGTAGATTTGGTACATAGATGTCACTATGCCAACAATTTGAAAAATAAAGCCCATTTAAGTTGCCTAGCACCATTCTGGCACTGACTCAATAAATGCCAGTTCCCTTACCCTGTCCTATGTAGCACAGGGGTAGATGAGAACCGATATTCGCTGACTGCTGCGGTAATGTCTTGGACAATAACAACAATAGTAACAATAATAGTTAATATTGATGGAATACTTCTAAATGTTTTATACATACAAACTTATTCAACCCCACAACAACCCATTGGGACAAGAGTCAGACGAGCCAATGTGTACATACAAGTATTTACAAACTTTAAACATCTGGGCAAATATGAATTTATAGAGGTAAGGAATAGTTGGATTTATAGTCAAAAGGCTCAAGTTTGAACCCTGGCTCTTCTGCATAAGAGCTGCTGGTCTCAAGGAAGTTATTTAACTTCTTGGGGCCTGTTTCCTCAGCTGTAAAATGAGGATGAGCCCCTGCTCACCTCATGGAATTGTCTGGAGGGTTAGATGAGAGGAAGTAATAGATGTAGCAGAGTTATAAACTCTGTAACAGGATACACGTGCAAAAGCTTATGTACTTCATTCAACCCACTGCCTCCTACCATGGACAGGTTAAAAAAAAATTAAAGCCCATTTCACAAAATACTGTGGTGGCAGTTTCTCTGTTTACCGTAGCTCCCACTGCTCCAACTTGCTCAAGGGCAGGAATCGAGTCTTATCTTTAGATCTACGTGTATATGTCTAGGGCGAGGCATAGATTTTGAGGTACAGATAGAGATACGTTTTAAATGCCATCACAGAGTTGCACTTGGTAAACCCTTCTTGAGGCAATCAAATTGGAAACAGAACACCTATGCTATGTGTCTCAATGTAATTGCCAAACGCGTTCATATTTAATTTATTCCCTAGGCAAGAGCAGTACCTATTGGTTATGTTCTGTTAGTTCAGTAGGTACAGCGTGTGGGGGTAGAGGGTTGTTAATGAAGAAGCAGGATCTATCCCTGGAAATCACGCCGTTAACTAGCTGGAGAGTGAAGTGCTAGCAGGTACACCCTAGGGTTTAATAATGCTAGAAAAGCATCAATTGCCAGCCACGCCAAAGAGGGATGCATTTTACCTTAAGATACATTCCATTCCCATAACTTTTTTTTTAATTTTTTAATTTATTATGTATTTAATAATTTATTTNTATATAAAGTTTAATCAGTTTTTTCTGATAGGCTGAAGCCTTTGAGAACAGCTGTTTTCAATAAGCAATAATTAACTATGGTCAAGGTACTGTCCCGCTGTAGGTCACCTTGAAACTACATAACCACAGAGATATGCCTGTTTTTTCTTCCAGGAAAAGTTCCTGTTGTGATAAGGCAAGTCCTTATTTCTCCAGCTTAGCTCTGAAAACTCTCAGACTCCTACAGCTTTAATAGGGCATTTCTAAGAATAGCCCAAGTGCCTGTAGAACCTCAGCAACAAAGGAGAGCAGGTGGGACTGGTGATATCAACCTCTACAAGGTGATGGGCAGGGTCAGCAGCATCTGCATACAGCGTCCAAGGCTGCGGGAGGGTGGAACTGTAAGCGCCCAGAAGGGTCCCCTCCTGAAGGAAATGTACCTGCCTGAAGGTCAAGTGTGAGCAAGGGCTCGAGGGCTCAGGGGAAGATCATTTGAGGCCAATGAGCGTGTCGCCACACAGTCAGGTGAACTCATGTACCTGGAGAGAACTGTAAAGTGTTGGTTTGTCCAATTAAAATAGGTAAGATGTGGGACCTTCCTCTGCCCAAGACTGAAAACAACTGTAACTTCCAAGGGGCATTTTGTTTATTTATTTTCTCTTTTCTTTATTGATTTTAGAGAGAGAGAGAGGGAGGAAGGGAAGGAGAGAAATATCAATTTGTTGTTCCACTTATTCATGCATTCACTGGTTGTTACCCTTATGTGCTTTGACCTGGGGTCGAACACACAACCTTGGTGCGTCCAGATGATGCTTCAGCCAACCGAGTTACCTGGCCAGGGCCCAAGGGGCATTTTAGCAGAAGCAGAGACTGTGTCTGTGCCTTGCTCTCAAAGCCCTGTGAAGTAGTATGAGTCTAGGAAAGGGGACAACAGGAGCATCAAGAACCCTAGGAGCCAGTTCTAGTGGAAATGGGAATAGATAGCTTCCAAAAAACTTGGGGGGCTGGGAGGGAGAGGGAGAGAACCCCCGAAGGAGAGAAATACAGAATCTACTGGCTCCCGCACGCCCCCTACCGGGGCGGAGCCTGCAACCCCAGCGCGTGCCCCGACCGGGAACCTAAACGCGGGCCTCCTGGCGCGCGGGGTGACACCCAACCAACTGAGCCACACTGGCCAGGGCCCCGTAACTCTTCTAAAAAGAAGTGAAGAACTTACGGCTACAAAATTCCTTGAGGTCGGACCATTTGCTGTTATGACAGATCACGGAGTCTTTCTTGCCAGCGTTTTTTACGAAGCCGTCATTGCATTTGTAGGTGACTATGCTGTTTTCAGGAAAAGTTGCGCTACCTCCCAAAGCTGGTAGAGCATTAGGAATATCCGGGGGAAGGCCGCAGTCACCTAGGGGGGGAAACCATGGCACTGAAGGAAATACCCTTTTGGGTTTATAGCAAGCACCGTTCCTTCCCCAGGCAGTCCCGGGAGCAGCAACGGCTTTTGGTGCCCCTGGAACATTTCCATCCAGTGCCGAACCGACGTACCAAGACCTCGCTAGGCTTCCAGTCTTGACAACTAATTCAAGGGTAAAATAAGTCGAGAACAACCCCCTCCTCTTCATTACATTTTTTTAAAAAAAAGTGCTTTAGTATCTATCTCCCCCTAGAGACTGTTGCCAGGCGCGCAATAAAGAGGGAGGCCCCGCTGGGACGTTACCCCCGCAGACGGGTACATTTGCAGCGCCCCGGGCTGCACGCAGCTGGGCTCTGTTTAGGGGTCACAGCGCTTGGCCTCCCAGTCTGAAGGGGGCGTCGGGGCTCTGACAGGTCCCCCTATCCCAGCCCTGCCTTTCTGCTTCCCAGGGTGCGGCTGCTCTGCAAACTCAGCCGGTGCGTCCTCAAGTCTCCACGCCTCACCCCCAAAGCCACGCCAGCCGGGGTGCAGCCCAGCGAGCCCCCTGAGAGCTCGTCAGCAGCGACGACCCCCGTCCTTTCCCACGGCACAGGGCCAGTGGGAGCTCTGAGCCTTAAAGTTAGGGGGTTGCGGGAATAGTGACCGACGCCCACATCCCTCGCCCCCCACAGGTCCCCAGACTTCTCGGTTGCCACGGAGACTGACCCAGCTCGTCCCACTCAGCAGAAGGGTTCCCCCACCTGGGCTGGGTCCCAGGCTCCAACTCACCTCGCGCCGAGTGTGGACCCAGCAGCAGCAGCAGCCACGGCGTCAGCCCGGGGAGGAGGCGCAGCGCTGCGGGGGCGCCCCGCCCGGCGGGACTCATGGCGCGGGGACAGGGACCCGGCGCGGGAACAGGGACCCCGCGCCCGCACTCGGCCGACTCCGCGACAGGATCGAGCGGACTCCAGCAAAGAGCTTTAAAGAGCAGCAGACGAGAGTGGCAAATCAATTTAAATTAGCGCCTTGGGTGCTTCCAGGGCTCTGAATCACCAAAGGGTGGGGCGAAGAGAGGCTGCGAAGAGAGGTTTGCCCGTTCCAGGTGCTGGGCGGCGCAAGGGCGGGGGCTCTGGCGTCAGTGGCCCCTCTGCACCCTTGACCGGGGACCAGGGATCCTGGGCAGGGGGACACTGTCTGGAGACCGACGCTGGGACTTCCCTTTGCTGGGGTGGGGCCTGAGCTGCCATCTGGAATGTAAATATCTGCTTTCCAAGTAAACAAAAATGTTGGGGGCCACGGAGGAGAGGGGGGTGTTTCTAGTGGCCGGGCTTGGCCCCCCGGGGGTCTGAATTGGCTTAAGAGGACCTTAAGCCCCTGGCGCCGCCCAGCGGAGCGGCGCGTGCGGTGGATGCGGGGGTTGGGGCTGAGAGGCGGTGCCCACCCAGGGCCGCGGTGCCTGCACCCAGGAGGCCTGGCAAAAGCCAAAAGGGGCCAGGGAAGAAACGAGGCGGTGTGTTGTGTCCCAGATCGCTCGGTAAACGGGAAACAGCGAGTGGGAAAGGGTCCAAGAAGCAGGCGGGGCGAGGCGGCCGAGGGACTTGAAATAGCAGGTTTGGGCGCGCACCAGTCTCTTGCCAGCCTTCTCTTTACTTTACTCAGCGCACCACCGCCTGAAATTCCACTTGGAGACGCCTCTAGTCTGACTGCCGAGAGAAGGTCACCTTGTGTCGGGCGGAAAGAGATTACCAAACAAAAACCCAGCGCCAAAAAGCTACACGATAGGGAGGTGGATTTGAAGAGGGAGGTTTGCTTGAAGGTCTTAAGTATATGCCAGTGGCTTGAGCGGCTGGCCACACATTAGAATCGCATAGAAGCTTTTTAAAAATCGAAATGCTCCATCTGCCCCTCAGACGAGTTAAATTAGAATTTCTGGGGGTGGGACAGGGGCATCAGGATTATTTAAAGTGCTTCAGGTAAGTAATTTCATTGTGCAGTCAGGTGGAGAAATTTCTACTGCACTGGTCAGAGTAAAGATCCACTCAGCCCAGCACTGTGCCTGTCAAAAAACTAAAGGTCATAAACAGAAAGGCCAGACACTCACATTCATGGAGAGTAACCCCAAGAAATCGTTTCCCTTTAGTAATTTACCTGCTTAGCAGAGTCCCAGCCTAGCTTTCCTATCTGTCCCTCAAGCGCCTGACCTGGTTAAGTAAAATCCATGCCTTGGAGTTATGTCTTAGGCCATGGACCAGCTCTGGGGCTAATGGTTACATCCTGTCATGATATTCTTTCCAATATGCTTTTTGATCACTCTTTATGGGTTAGTATGAGCTTTATAAAGAGGAAAACAGCACTTTCCGACAGTAGCATTTTCTCTGACTCATGAGCACTACACTGAACAGAACCCTGTGTCAGCCCACTCTGGGACTGATCCTTCAGGGATTCCAGGAAACTAACTCCTCTAATCTTTCATAAAAATCTGTCAGGATTAAAACAGGTTGGAGTAGAGAAGCTGGGCTTTGTAAATCACCTAGTGTGGCTCTCATATTTTATGTTTAACTGCCTTACTTTCACTCTCATATTTGCTATAAAAACACAAAGTTTATCAGGGCCCACCAGTGTTTTAGAATTGATACCAGGCCTTCATTTATTCTCCCTAAGAGCTTCCCGTGACCTCACCCACCACACCCTTCTGCCATGCCACTATGGGCAGGTAGACTTTGCTTCTGCTTGAGCTCATAGAATTGGTGCAAAAGGCAAGGGAGCAGCATCATGAAAAAGAGCTGAAGGTATGGAGCTGTCAGAAGACTTAACTTTAGAGGGAGGTGTCTATTGGGTAAATGTAATAGCTTTTTTAATCCAGAAGAAAAGAATGAATTCTGCAAAATGTCAAAAAAATTATCTGTCACCCACCCAGCTTAGCTACAGTGGATGCTCTAGACATTCGCCTTCTAAAACACAGTTCTCGCTATTAAAAAAAAAAAAAAAAGGAACTTTTACAAGAAATAACTGGATGGACTCTTTAGTAACACTTACGGCCGCTCCCAAAATTTCAACATTCTGAAGGCAAAAGAAAAAAGAAAAATTCACTAGTCATTTACTCAATTTAGAAAAAGGTTCTATGATAGAAATGTATGCATTATTAAGAAACATTAAATATACAAATTTGTAACTTACTAAAGATTTTAATTAATGATCTCAAATTGTTGTGTTTCAATCACTTCGTATACATTATACATTTTCACCAAAACAACTTCATCAACTGGAGATAATTACCCACATTTCATAGAAGAGGAAACAAGCTGAGAAGTTAATTAACCAAAATCTCTGCAGCCAATTAAGTGACCAGGCCAGAACCTAATTCAAATTTGTTTGATTCCAAACCTATACTTGCCTCTTTTACTCTACCACATTGCATTCTTTTTATTGCAGTCAGTCAGCAAAGATATCGTCTATGTAAAGGACACTGAATTAGATATTTGGGGAGGTCGATTTGTGAACCAACTCCTTCTGGTGTCAACAGTAGACCTGAGCCTTCATACTTGATCTACCAAATACTAGTTATGTATTCTAAGCCCAATCACTCTATCCCTCGGGGCCTCATTTCCACATTGGTTAAGAAAGAGATTAGAACTAAAATCACCTCTATAGAGCTTTCCAATTCCAAAATGATAAGTTTAGGTTAAAAAATACATTTTAAATATTAGAAAATAGGTCTATGATTTTGGTAGAAAATAGTGAACATAGCTTTCACCCCTGTCCCAGGAACCATACGACGACTACATCACAGGCTTTTAATAAATTGGGGATCATCTAGTACTCAGAAGCACATTAAGAAAGGGCCAACACTTGCTTTCAGGGATCTCTAATTGTGATATATAAGAAATTGTGATTTATAAGAAATGTATATTGAGTCATTCAGACAACCTAAATATATTTCTTATATATATTTGGCCTTTGTCCACGATTCCTGGCTCACTACTCTCAAGAATTGTTGGAATTTTATAAGTGTTGAGACTGGAAAAGTTGTCTTTTGTTATGTTAAATGAGGTGACTTTTGAACTCCACAAAGGGATGGGGGCTGGTCGCCAATGGAACCAACCATGTGGTTAGAGGGTTAGAACTTTAAGTCCCCCCTGGACCTCCAGGGAAGAAAGAGAGGCTAGAGGTTAAATTAATTACCAATGGCCAATGATTTAATCAATCATAACTGTAATGAAGCCTACATGAAATCTCAAGAAGATTGGGTTCGGAAGTTTCAGGGTTGGTGAACACGTGTTGGTGCAGGAAGAGAAGTGCAGCGGGAGAGGGCATGGAAACTATGCCCTTTGCCCCGAACTTACTCTATGCGGCCCTTCTGGCTGCTCCTGAGTTATATCCTCTTACCATCAACCAGTGATCTAATAAGTAACATGCTTCTCTGAGTTCTGTGACCTGTTCTAGAGGGGGTTGTGGGAACCTCTAATTTATAGCCAGTTGATTAGAAGCACAGGTAACAATCTGGACTTGGACTGGCATTCTCAAGTGGAGAGGTTTGTTGGGACCTCCAGTCTGTAGCCAGTTGGTCAGGAGCACAGGATTCATCTGAAGTGTGTTTGTGTTTGGAGGGAAGGGCAGTCTTGTAGGACTGAACCCTTAGCCTGTGGACTTTGATGCTATCTTAGTCTCTAGGCAGATAGTGTCAGAATTGAGTTGACTTCTTGGACACCATGCTGATGTGAAAAAATTATTGGTATGTCCAGGAGGTTGGTGGGACAGTCTTGTAGGACTAAATCCTTAACCTGTGTGATAATCATGTTATCTCTGGATAGTGTCAGAGTCCTGAGAATTGTGTGCTGGTGTTGCGAGAACCACCCTCCCCCATGTTGGAATCCGGTCAGGGAATTTAATAAGTTCCAGCAGGGAGGTTTTATGTGATAAATACCATGGAAATGTCTCAACTAATATAGTGTGGGTGTTCAGAAAAGAAAGAAACTTGGCAATTTGGGTGGAAGAGACTATTGTCCTAGTGATTTGGCTATAATGACAAATATGTCAATGCAATAGGGAAAAAAATATGAAAAGAAATAAGAAAGGTATGGCAAAAGTTTGGAGTCAGGAAAATGCCAGCTGATTCCAAGAATGGTAAGGAATTATTTTAGGCTGGGCAGGGGGAATTTAACATGAGCAACGAAAGAAGAGGCTAAGAGACAGGCTGACAAGATACGGAGAGAGCCTTAAACACAGTGCATTTTACAGGTTTTAGCAGCAAGTGTACAAGATCATTTTGGGAGGTGTGTACAAGATGCTGCAAAGGGAGAAGTCCCCAGAAGCAAAGACCCAGAAATGTCTTTAATTCTATTTTTAAATTAATAAATCTGTATTAAGGAAACAGTCTTGTCACTCTAACCACCCCCCTTGACACAATTATTACAGCCATTTGTGTGTCCGTGTCTGTTCTCACCAAAGAGGTTTCGATGGAAGAACCTGCAGAATTTGGTGGCTGATTAGATAAGAAACGAGAAAAAAAAGTGGCGAACATGACTCAGAGGTTTGGTGTGTGTGAGACGAGGGGCCCTGTTTTGAAACGTAGGGAAGAAACACCAAGTTTGGCTTCGCAGCTGTTGGTGGAAAACGCCTCGGCGGGGTGTCTGTGTGGAGGTGCAGGGCCTGGGATGGAAACGTGGGAGGGACTGAGCTGGGGCATGGATGTGACATGGCTGAAAGCAAGGTCACCAAGGGGAAGAGTTCAACAAGTTTCAAGAGGCCCCAGGGGTGAGCCTTGAGGACCTTCAAATGAGAGTACAAACAATGAAAGAAGGAAAACGTTGGCGAAAGCGAAGAGGGTAATGCAATTTCCTGTAAGTCCATGGATACAAAACCACGAGCCAAATGGTATCGCCCTCC